TTGTAGCCAAAAACCAGGGCTTTCGATCTATCTTAGAAATATCTTAGTAGAAAATCGCTCCCTGTCACCTAAATCTCGGCCAAAGTTAAAAAATTAAATTTTTCAGGTGTAAATTTCTGGAGGTCATGTGATATTTCCGTAAATCTACGCCTAATTAAATTTCCTGATGTACTTACCTTGTTCTTTCCTTTACCCTTCTTCTTCCCACCTTTCACTGGTTCGTAGGAACACCTGTGAAAGTCGAAATTGTCAAAATTGGCTTTGTAAATGTATGATTAAAGGTCTTTTCCTTCTCCATTTTTCTTCCCTTTCTTTCTCTCACTTTTTCCTTTCTCTCTCTCTCTTTCCTTTCTCTCCCTATCTTTGTGTGGTACCCTTCTCCAGACTTGCAGAATAATTGCAGACTTGTGATATAATTGTGAAATTGTGGAATAATTACTGAATTGCAGAATAATTGTGAAATAATTGAGGAATTGTGGAATAATTGAGGAATTGAGAAATAATTGAGGAATTGTAGAATGATTGAGGAATTGCGAAATAATTGAGGAATTGCAGATAATTGTGAATTGCGGAATTATAGATTTTTAATCATTAAAATTCTCAATAATTGTGATATAGGTAATAATACCATAATCCTCAATTAATAATTGTGAATACTATCTTTAGACCTAATCAATGAATATGAAGTTAGTAATGGAATGATTAGTAATATTTTAAAGACAAAAGATTGCTGGCTTACTATAGATCTTAATTTACATCAGACTACTTTGTGTTGTGAAAAAAAAATTCATTTTTCAATTATAGAAGATGCTTTAACTTTATGAACAGAAGGTATTATACAAGTAAATATTATTATTACAGATAAAATTCTTTCTAAAAAAGTATCAGAGTTTGCTCTTTTATATAATGAATATAAGTTTAAAAGTTCAATTAAATGAATTGATAATTTCAAAAAGTAACATAATTTCAAGTAATATTGTATATATATGGAGAAGCATCTAGTGTTCCACTTCAAAATCTTGATGAAATACATAATAATATTAATTAAATTTTAAAAAATTATAATTCTCAAGATATTTTTAATTGTGATGAAACAGGTCTTTTTTGGAAAATGAAACCTATTTGTATGATTTCTAATCAACCAATATCAGAAACAAAACAATCAAAAGATCATGTAACTGTTTTACTTACTTGCAATACAACAGGAACTGAAAAACTCAAACTTTATTCATTCACAAATATGAAAATCCACAAGTACTTAGACATATAAACAAAAAAACTCTTTCAGTTGATTATTATTGAAATTTAAAAAGTTGGATGCAAGTTTCAATCTGGAATAATTACATTAAAAAACTTGATACAAGAATGAGAATGCAAAATAGAAATATTATTCTTCTTGTTGACAATGTACTTACACATACTCTTTATGAAACTACACATGTTACAAATATTACTATTGAATTTTTACCTCCAAATACTACTGCACACCTACAACCCTGTGATCAAGGAATTATTAATAGTTTTAAGACAAGTAAATTCATATTTATAATTATTATTTAATTAAAAATTTACATTAATTTTAATTTAATAATTTTAGGTGCAGTATTGAAAATTATTTTTAAATAATCATATTAAGGCTCTTGATAAATATAATGAATATGGTATTAAACCTGTTGAAATTGATATCAAAAAATGTATTAAATATATTGCTTATACATGGAATAATGTTACTGAATCTACAATTAAAAATTGTTGGTGAAAGATAGGAATTTTGTCTAAAATAGATGAAATTAATTTAGATGATACAGCAGATGAAATTAATTTAGATGATACAATAGTTGAGATGAGATTATAATCAATAATACAAATGAAGAAAATGAGGTTCAATCATTAATTGATAAATTAAATCTTGAAATTCTCTTAATGCTAATGAGTTTATACATTATGATAACATAGTAATTACAACAGAAATAAGAACTAATGATGAAATTCTAGTGGCAGTTCTTCCTAATAATGAAAAATGAAATGGAAGAAGATTCAAGTATTACTCATAATGAAGCTATTGAATCATATGATAAAATAATTTTATATTTGGAACAACAGGAGGAAAATTTTGATACAAAAAAAGATAAAATTAAATATGTGAAAAAATTAAAAAAAGAAGCTATAAGATATAATTTTTTTTCAACAAGACAAAGTAATCTTGATAGTTTTATTAATTATTCTAATGAAGATAGTTATTAAATAAATTGTATTTAGTAAATAAATAATAACAAAATAATAAAATTATAATTTCGATTTTATTAATAAAATATATAACGAATTTCGTTATAATTTTTTTTATAACGAAAGCCTGATTGGGCCAGCCACTAATTTCGTTGTATGGTGAGTTGACTGTATTAAAGTTTTAGCAATTTACTATTCTTTTTTATTTGTATATTGTTCAGGTTTTGCCTGTACATATACACTTCTCAACTTTTAAGTTGGAAGGCATGCCTATCCAAGTCACCATCAACGTTTTTCATCTAAACTACATTAGAAAATAAGTATAAAAGTCCGAAATAATCACATGACCTACTCCTAAAAATTAAATTTTTCGCTATTTACGTGACAGAGAGCGATTCTCTACTAAGATATTTATTTGACAGATCGAAAGCCCTGGCCCTTGGCTACAAGAGATATGTGCTTCATTACTGTAGCATCGATATTAACGGAGATATTCGCGTTCAAAGTTGAACGTCTGTGAAAAATTTGGCCGTAACTTTTCCATAAATTTTCGTAATTCTGCTGGAAATTTTTGTGACGTAATAAAAATTTTTCGGCAGAATTACAAAATTTACGGAAAAGTTACGCCAAAAATTTTCACGGACGTTCAACTTTGAACGCGAATATCTCCGTGAATATCGATGCCACAAGAATGAATCACATATTGTCTTGTATCCAAGAACTAGAGCTTTCGATCTGTCATAGAAATATTTTAGTAGAAAATCGCCAAAGTATTTCATTTAGATAATCATTTCGCGGTATAACGTTTTATTTTTAATGTTGCGCGACATAATATTTACTTTATTCTTTTATAACAATATAAAAATCAGAAATAATTCATGATTGTTATCACATATAAAACTTTTATTTTAATAAATAAATGTCAAAAATGGTACTAAGAAACCTTAAAGAAAACAATGAATTACATATTATACAAAAATGACAGACCTACTGTATATCATCAAAATTGAGAGAACCATTGCAGTTAAAGTTCGAACGGGAGAAAAATTTTAAAATGATAATTACTCGCTCAATTTTGATGAAATAGGTCTACTTTCTTTACAAGAGATGCAATTAAATTTTATTTTTGAGGTTACTTAGTACTATTTTTGATATTCACTTGTAATATAAAAAGTTTTATATGTAGCAACGATCGACGATTTTGTATATAATTATGTTCTTACTTTTACATATAATTATATACAAAATCGTCGATCGCTGCTACATACAACCTTTTTATATTATAAGTGAATGTCAAAAACTTTACTAAGTAACCTCAAAGACAAAAATTTATTGCATCTTCTGTAAGAAGTGCAGACCTATTTCATCAAAATTGAGCGAATGATTATCATTTTAAATTTTTTCGCCCATTTGAACTTTAGCTACGAATCGTTCTCTCAAATTTGATAATATAGACCTATCCTTTTTATATAATATGCAATTCTTATCTTTATTAAAATAAAAAGTTTTATATGTGGTAACAATCATGAATTATTTCCGATTTGTAATTTATAAAATCAAAGGAAAAAATGATCATACCCGAAGTGCATTTTGTAATTTTTAAGCTTGATGTAGCTATGACAAAGTGGAAGGATGCTCAATCATATTATTACGATAAATTTTAAATAAAACTATCACGCGATTATATAAGTGATCAATGATGGCTTCCGAAGGTTCAACGTCAAAAAATAAATTGAAAGAAGTGCTTCAAGAGGTTTGTCTCGGTAAACATCAATTGTCTATCCAATCAAAATGACATATTTTAAAGAATCTATCCGTCTGGAAGAAATTACAGCTGAAGACAGTTCAACATCAAATAAGAAATTAAAAAAAGTATTTAAAGGTTCAGGATCTGGAGAAGAAATCCAGATTTGACTCAATTATTATCCAATTATGTTTATTATCAATTGACTGACACATTTTAAATAATATATTATATAGAAGTTTCTGAAGATGGGCCAGTTTTAACAAAGAAATTAAAAAAGGTACTCAAGAGTTTAGACTCAGAACAACGAGAAGGGTATAACAAATTGCCTAATGAATGGAAAATTACATATTTGGAGGGGATTTTGAGGGAGAAAAACAAAGGAGTATGTATTATATATTAATCTAACCAATTTTTTTTGCTAGACTATCACTAACATCATATTAAATTTTACATCGATACATCCCTAAATATTAGGAATTCATCTTCAGCTTAATCGTTCTTATTGTTGTTATACTCACTACTACTGGAATAAATGTTGCAAATAAATACTTATTGAAGATGAAGACTTAACAAAAAAATTAGTAATTATATTGAATGCTATTGTTCAAGTTTTCGTTGACCTTGTAAAAGTAAATATTCTTTACAAGGAGAAATACGATATAATGATCCTTTTTCTTGTATTACAAATAATTATGGGTTTAATGTTGGCAATATTCCTGGGTATATATGTAATCCACCTATTGTATCAATTTTGTGGATAGGAGTGAGCATATTGTTTTGATTGGAAAGTTCGCTTAAATATAAAAATAATCGTTGGGAGAGGTTAGAAACCAATTATATCTTGCTTAAAGTATATCATTAGTATATATCTTATAATTACCACCCAGTAAAAATTCTGTCCTAGTTACGTCCTAGATAAACTGGGACGCGTTCTAGTAAAAAAAATTATCTAGGACAGATATTGCCATAGAAGAAAAGATTCTGAATCTGTTTTATTATGTTCTGTTATATTTATTATATATCTGTCCTAGTTGTCTCAATAAGAACTAAAATTCTAGAAAAAAAAAATAAAACTCGACATATAATATTTACCTTCTAATATGTTATATTTTCCAGTACATATTTGGATACGTATAACAAAGTCGCACTGAAAAGTACTAATAAAAGAATTTTTAATTTTGCTAGGATGAACTAGGACACTAGGACGCGTACTCTAGATTTCTTTTATTCATCTCAAAAAAAACTTTCTCACGTTTAATTAATTTTTTTTTTTGATCTAGGACAGATTTTTATGTGTCTAAAAAAAAATTGCAATACTTTAAAGAAAATTTTCAAACTAATATAACTCAAGAAATAATAATATATATATATTCTAATTACTTACTATATATTACTATCTTGTATTCCATAATTTAATTTTAGTTAAACATGATGTAAGAACTTGAACAAAGAGAAATGCTTATTTATGCATTTCTGATAATGTGTCTTGTTGAAGTTCATAATCAATAAGACCATATATCTTCATTTTCAAGATCTTTTTATATGTTTTCTTCTATAATTAAATAATATAAATGATATCAACATTAGAATCATTAAGATCTTGTTGAAAAATCAAATTATATAATTTTCAATTCAATTCACAAGCATCATTAAGATCATGTTGAACAATCATTTAATATAGGTTTGCATCCCTCTCAATTAAAGGTGACATCTGCAATTATGAATTGCAGATTATAATATTACTACTCATATTGCAATTATTGCAGGTTTTGATAATTAAAAATCCACAATTTCACAGTTTGCAATTACCCATTAGTCATTTTGTTTCATAAGTTCACAATGTTTTCACAATTATGTAATTATGTCATCATTTTGATAACTTAAATGGGAGCACAAGAGAAATATAAAGGTGAGAAAATCAGAGATGATGGAGAAACACTTTGTGCTTTTGGCATATCAGTTTTATTACTTGGGTAGTTATTATAGATACACATTATCTTTGACTTCATGAGTAGAAGGAAAAAAAAGAAGAAAGGAGACAGGAGAGAGAGGAGAAGAAAGAGGAAAGAGAGGAAAGAGAGGAAAGAGAAAGAGAGGAAAGAGAGGAAGAAAGGAGAGTGCGGAAGAGGAAGAAAAAAGAGATACATAAATCGGGTTCCGGAAAGCTAAAAGCTTTCTTTTCCCAAATCGGTTTACGGCGAAGGTAGGTTGGTTTTTTATTTTATTTTTTATTTTTACTTTACCTTTTTCCTGAACCAGGTTCTGGTAGGCTTGTGGAAAGGGAGATGGTTTTTTTATTTTTACTTACCTGAATCGGGGCCAGAAAGCTAAAAGCAAAGGTAGGTGAGTTTTTTTATTGAATTGCATTCCGAGAGGCTATAAAAAAAAATTCAACAAATTTCATGTGATTGCTTTTCTCTGTGATTGGTTAGATTGCAAAGATTTAAAAAAGATCGAAATTTTGTATAGTCGAAAAAAAAAAAATGAATGTTTCAACTGATCAAAGTAATTCTATCAATGTATAATTCGAGCATAATTCAACATTTTAACATTCAACAGATTTTTAATATTTTAAATATTTTAAAATGACAGAAAGGAAGAGAATCACAAATAATAATAATCCCGAAGAATTTGCTTCTGCCATAAATAAAATTTTGAAAAGTTCGATTAAATCGACAACTGCTACAGATCAAAAAGTATTTATATCAATATTCTGGAATTTATTATAATTAAATCATATAAATCATATAAATCATATAAATCATATATATCATATAAATCATATTATCTTATGTAGATAACACCAATCTTATCACGTTCTAAAGGAATTGAACAACGAATTGATGAAGAGAAACTTGAATACCGGACACGTAAAGCCTCTAATATAGAAAAAAAAAAACTCGCTTCAAAAGATAGAATAAAATATGATTTCACTACTATTGACAGAGAGAGAAAATTGAGAAAAATAGCTACTAAAGGAGGTAAATTAATTAATTAATTATTTAATAATAAATTTTATTTATTTATTTTAATTTGATTATATATATATATATAGTTGTACAATTGTTCAATGCGATTCATATATCACAAAAAGTTGTGGATGAAGCTGTAAAAGAAGTTGGAGGTAGCCAGAAATTGACTTCAAGAGAAGCTAAAGATGGTAGATTATTTCCTTGATTTTTTTATTTTGAAATTTTGAAAATTTTTATTAATTAATCTTTTATTTTATTTTTAGTGGCAAATATGTCAAAGGACATATTTTTGGAAATTCTAAAAGGAGAACACAACTCGGAATCATGTGATGAATAATCGTAACTTTTAATGCATAATTTCAATTACACTACGGAAGACGTTAGAATGAATACGCAGGAGACGCAGTTAAATATATGTGTGTGTTGCGTACGGTGATTACGCAAGCCATATTAAATAATTAGAAAACCGCAGTTAAAATTTTAAAAAATTCAGGGATCAAAAAATTTCGAATGTACCCTAATAATTTTAAATAATTTCTTTAAATCGGAATTCATATTATAACTTTATTATAGAATTTACAATGTAACGTTATCTAAAGTTGAAAATTAATTAATTGATGGAATTATTAAATTTAAAATTCGGGATTTATTGTATTTATTGTAAATTGAAAACTAACAATTTTGGAAAGTGTCATTATTATTTCATTATTATCGTATTGTTGACCCCTGAAAATAATTTGGGGGTAATACATTATTTCAGAAATATAAATGGTCATCAATTCAATTTTCCCCATTTTCCCCTTAACAAGAAAAACTACAAAAATTCTCCGTCTGTAATATATATATTTCCTTCATTACGCCTTATTAATAACTGTTTAATATCTCGTTTTCTGTTTGCAAATTTCATTTTCACATTATTATTTTTTATAAACCATGAGATCTAAATTCAAGGACGAACATCCCTTTGGTAGGTTCACTCATCAGAGAAATTATCTAATTAACAATTTTTTTTTTTTAAGTATATAAATAATAATATAAATGTTTTTTGGATTTATTAATAGAAAAACGCAAGGCTGAAGCTGAAAGAATTAGACAGAAATATCCTGACAGAATTCCGGTAAGTTTAATTGATATATCAATTGTGGCGTAGCCAAGACCTCTAATTAATGATTAATTATTTAACTGCTTTAACTATTCAAATACCATAATTAATTATCATAACTCCATAACATCATAATTATCAAACGTAAAATTATTAGGTCATTTGTGAAAAAGTTGAAAAATCGGATATTGCAACAATTGATAAAAAGAAATATCTTGTTCCGGCTGATCTCACAGTTGGACAATTTGTTTATGTGATTCGTAAACGAATCAAATTAAGCCCGGAGAAGGCAATCTTCATCTTTGTAGATGAAGTTTTACCTCCAACTGCTGCACTTATGTCCAGTATCTATGATGAACGAAAAGATGAAGATGGTTTCTTATATATAACGTCTGTCATTTTTTTTTAAAACATACTTTTGTGATTTGTTATTTTATAATTTATTATTGATCTAAATAATTAATCAACTTTTTTTTTCAAATTTCAAATTACAGATATTCTGGGGAAAATACTTTTGGTCTTCTCGAAGATTAACAATTAATATCATACATTTGATTTATTATTAGTTTTTTTTTTTTTACATAATTTTTATATTATATATATTTTTAAAAAACAAAAAATTGGACTGAAAGGTACTAGTTTCATATGAATAATGTTCTATTATGATGATTTCTTTTTTATTCTTCCGATAAAAGAATTATTGAAATCGAAAGGAATGTAATTTCAAACAATGTAACGATATAACAATATAGGCATTATTTATTATTATTTTGTATCTGATGTTGTTTAAATTATTTCATTGAATTTTATTTTTTTGATAAATTCTCTTTCATTATTTTATTATTATTTATTATTATTAATAATTAAATCTAATCAATCCTGTATCAATATAATTTGTCTTTGAATAAAAATTTTTGTTCATTGCGCAGAAAACTTTTAATGTCATTGTTTTTGTATTCTCTTAATCACTCTTCAGATATAAATTTTAATATAATTTTAGATCAGAATTTTTTATTATAATTTTAATTTAAATAATAATTTAAATCGTAAACAAAATTTTTTATCTATTAAAAACATATAAAATATATTAATATTAATATAAATTGTATATCATTTCACATTTATAAATTTTATAAAAAATATTCCTAACAATTCGAATTGTGACAATAATTATTTTTGTTACAAAATAGACAAAAATATGAAAAATAGGGAATAAAAATAATACAGATAGTACAAATATTGAATTAATGATAATTGGACTCATTCTCGTAAAAGATAATTTATTGATAATTCTTCAAAATAGAAATTAAATGTTTAATTCCAACAATCCTGTAAATTTTTAAAATTGAAATAAATTAATAAAAATGAAATAATTTAATAAAAATGAATTAATAAAAATGTTAAAGAATTTATTACCATTTCGTGCACTCATCCATTTTAGTGGTCATTAGATGGACTTGATAATTATTAGCCTTTAAATAATCACGTGCTTCCAAGGCTAATTGTAGTAAATGAAACAATTGAGAATATTTATTAGAATGATGGTTACAGTTAGCAACTTTTTATTGTAATAAATAAAATAAATAATTACCTCGAACCAAATCCGTCAATGTTTCAATTACTTCAGGTGATATATCCTCATTATTTAATGCATCGAAAAGAATGTTGAGACGTTTTTCTGTGTCATCCAGCATTCTTTTTTGTGAAGGCTAGAAAAAAAAAATTGAAATGTTAAAAAAAAATCGAATTAAACTGCACCCAAAAAAATGAAAGAAAAATTGAGGAATTCTTTACTTGAGAATTATGTCGAACTTTAATAAATTCATTATTTAATATATCAAATATAGGTTTATGTTGAGTTGGAATATGTGTTCTGTCACCCAATGCTATAAAAAAATTATTATTATTTTAAATAAAACATAATCTAAAATTGTACTAAAGGAATAATATAATAATAATGACAATAATAATTACAATGCTTATTGACAGGTGTTTTTGCTGGAGTTGGTGCTCTTGCTGGTTGTGGTGGTTGTTGTTGTTGCTGAACCATAGTTGCAGCCTGATTGGGTAAATTGCTGGAAGGTGGTGGTGGTGGTTGTTGTGGATGTTGTTGTTGTGGTTGTTGATGTTGTTGTTGTGGTTGTTGATGTTGTTGTTGTGGTTGTTGATGTTGCTGTTGTGGTTGTTGATGTTGTTGTTGTTGATGTTGATGTTGTTGTTGTTGTTGTTGTTGTTGTGCTATGTTAGGTGGTGGTTGTGCCATGTATCCTGTATTAGCCGAAGAATATGGAACATGTTGTGTATATCCTGTACTACCACCACCATGATATCCCATATTTTGAGGTGGTGGTGGTGTAGGAGTTTGACGATCTTTTGTCGAATAATAAGACGAATTTTGCATTGTTCGCTGTGCTAGTGGTGGTGGAGGCGGTTGTGGTGAATTACGAATTTGATGTGGTGGAGGTGGATAGACATTAGGTTGACCACCTGCTTGATATATTTGTGCTCCACCTGGAGGTCGGTTAGCTTGTGGTGGTGGTGGTTGCTGATATAATTGTTGTTGTTGTTGGGGTGGTGGTGGTGGTTGTTGAGGTAAAAGTGGATGTTGTACTGGTGAAGTAGAAGTTGGAAAAGGAGATGTAATTGGTGGAGGTTTACTTGGATTATTTTTTTTGGCTGATTGACTTGATGGAAATGGTGGATCATTCCAATTAGATGGAGATTTATTAAATATAGCTGGAGCTGCTTCAGCTGATGGTGCATTAACATTTTGTTGTTGTTGAATGTTCGCATTAGGTACAGGAGGTTGAGGAATCAAATTATTATTATCTTGATATGGTTGATTATAATTTGGAAATGTTTGTTGATATTGATAAGCAGGTTGATTTTGAACAGGTGATATTTTATTATATGGATAAGCCATTTGTTGTTGTTGTGCTTGTTGTTGTACTTGTTGTTGTTGTTGCATTTGTTGTTGTTGTTGCATTTGTTGTACTTGTTGTTGTTGTACTTGTTGAGGAATTTGTTGCGGAATTTGTTGAGGAGGAGGAGGAATTTGTTGAGAAGTTTGTTGATATGGTGCTTGAAGTGGTTGATTATAATATTGATTATAATATGGTTGTTGTTGATATACTGCTCGTGGTACATTCTGATCAAATATATAAGGTGAAATTGTTTCTCCTTCCGTATGAACATTAGTTGTGGTAGAAGTTGAGAGAGTAATAGTAGAAGCAGTAGAAGTTTGATTAATTTCTCCATCCGAACCTACAAAAACTGGTAAAAATGGTGCTAAAGGTTCTTTTGTGCCTTTAACTTCAATACCAGAATGATATAATCGTTCCCTAATTATCAATGATTCATTACTATTAATTTTATAATCGGATGGTGTTAAATTTAAATATTTGAGTGCCGTATTTAATCGACCTTGTGCTGCAAGTAATTCGGCATATTCTATATATTTATCATAAAGCGTTGACAAATCATATTGTTGATTGGTTTCTCCTTCACTAGATAAATCCAAACTTTTCACCAAGGATGTATCAACATAATCAATAGCCTTTCGAAATACTGCTATTTTCTCAATTAAGCTCTGAAGTGATTTAGCTCGACATGAATATCTTGATCCTGAAAATATAGATTCCTCTCCTTGTTCATCATTCTTAAATTCTTGTGACTCTTCCTCTTCTTGTTCAGTAATCCAAATATTTACAACATTTTCTAAATTCCCAGCAGCAAGGTAACACAAAACTGCATTTTTCCTATAACTCAAACCTTTTGATTTATCATCCATATTTGATGATGGTTCAGTTAACTTTTTATATTCTTTTTCTAACCTTTGACCCAAAGAATTACATAATCCTCCAAATTCTTCTGATTTTGCAAATGTGCAAAGGACTACAAGAACTTCTTGCCATTCTGATAAATCGGCATTAAAAACAATATCTGATAAATCACCTGATACAATACTTTGAAGTAAACGCAAATATGGAACTGTTGACATTTGCTTTTCGAAATAAATTTTTCGTGTGCGTTGTAAAAGTTCTGGTCCACCACAACCCGCTAACAGAACTGCATCTGATAGTCTATTTGTCTCTAGGCATAAATTAACTGCTGATTCAAAGTCACCAAGTACTATTGACCTAGTGATTAATTTATCTACCTCTGATCCTTGTAAAGGATAAATTTTAAAAGATCCTAGATTAAAGGCTGTGAAAGATGAAGAATCTCTAGATCCCAAACTCTCACTTTGTATAGGAAATGCATCGGGAATGACTTCTGAACTAAATAAATCTGATGCATGGGATGGTTCGCCCAAATCATTGGACGAAAAAAGTTCTATATTTTCCGATTTTGTTTCACTTGGCCCTTCATCTAATGAAGTTGCATCAACCTCTGATTTAGTTACGATATCTTGATCTACAAAATTCGTTGATTCAGAAGAAACCTTATCATCCTCATCTTGTTGGGATTTATTTAATTCTAAAGATTTTACCGCAGTTGAAATCTGTGAAATTACATCAGCCTTGGAAAATCCGAGATGTTTAACTAATAATTCTCGTGCATTTTCATTATCATTGAACAATGTGTGAAGGATTTTCCAATTCTCTTCATCGAACTCACTTTTTGAATTCTTTTCTCGATTTTTACAAAAAGTACTGAGTGAATTTTCCTCCACAGCTGACTCTAATTCAAGAGATCTTTGTATAACCTCAGGTTCTGAGGCTATAGTATATATCGTTACAGTACGTTTATTGGGGCCAGCGGAAGACTTAAATGCCACAAGTTTTCCACCAAAGCCGAAATTTGCTGCCACTGGCCTTCTAAGCCATTTGGGAGGTTGCTTTAATGAAAGAGACGGTTGATGTACCGGGGAAATTGCAAAAGGATCACTATTGTCTGATATGCTGGTTATTTCATTATTATCTTGACTAGATTGTAGGGAATGAATGGAAATCTTTTTTTGGGGGGAGCATAAACCAAAAATAAATAAATAAATTTAATTAAATTTATTATATAAAATCCAAATTGGATTATTTTATAAAACAATACCTTGCCATCAAAGGATGCAGAAGCCAACAAATCTGGATTTCCAGGACACCATTGTACATCAAAAGCCCAATTCGAACTTGGGGGTAACTAATAAAAAAAAAAATAGGTTGTCATTAATTTACAAGTCATAATAGACAGACTTCTTATAATTTATAAATAATACCTCTCCTATTATTTCAGCAGTTCCTGGATTCCAACATAGAGTTCTGTTATCTTTTCCACATGAAAGTAACAAATCAGCATCTTTTGTACACCAAGAAAGTGATAAAATACCCTTTTGGTGACCTGTTAAAATCTAATAAAGATACATATATTTTTAAATTTAGTTAAATGTCAAGAATATTTGAAACAATGCGAATTAAAACATACCTTTTCAGGTGCGTGGGCGTTACGAAGATCCCATATTGCAATTACTGGGTTACTATCATCTTCTGAGGCAGTTATTATTTGAGTTGCCTTTCAATTTGAAAAAAAAAATATAGTATAAAAAAAAATGAATTTTCACAAAAACATTTTAAAATAATAACCAACCAACCATATCAGGGTTCCAGGCAACTGCTGTAATACTTCTTCTGCCTATATTGGTGGTCACGTTTGAAACTGAAGGTCCTGCATAGGATAAATGCATGACCTCACGCTTGTTTTTTAAATCCCAAATTACAGTATAACTTGTGGTAGAAGAAGTTGCCAAAATATGTTGCACTTGATTATTCCAAGCCAAATGAGTGATTTCCTCCATCTTTGGTGATCTCGTACCAGGAGTATAGGGTTTATCTGGTTTAGTTAGATCCCAAATAAATATCTAAATAATTGTGTGAGAATGAGATACAATTTCATAATTTACAATAATTTACAATAAATTACAATAATTTATAGTTCATTTACTTCGCCATTCGTTGCAGCAGATGCTAATAAATTGTTCTGGAAAGGGTTAAATTGCAACCCGCGAACATTTCCGGAATGTGACGTATTACGCAATAATAATGCTTTTTCGTTACTAAAAATAAAATGAAGCAATAAAGAATAAATTGAATAGATGAATAATAAATCAATAATGAAGATTTGTAAGGGGGACCAAATTTTAGAATGATTTTATTAAATGGATCGAAATTAATCAGACAGAATTTTCATAATCGCACCAACTCAAAATAAATCATGACTCACTCGCCGCCCTCCAAAATAATTGCGGGATCCCATAAATCCAACTCGCCACTTTCCATACCGCCGGCAATAATCCCGTATGATTTGTCACCAGAAATACCCCAAACAAGACGATCAAACCTATAATATTCATTGAACGTGAAAATTATATATCATTTGAAACGTGAAAACCGGAAAACCAAAACATTGGAACTCAGATCGTCCAATATATAAATATCAGAAATAAAAAAAGATAGCACGTGCCTTGCATTACTGCTGACTACACCAGAGGGTTGCAATTCTAAAGCTTCATTTTTATCTAAATTTAAATGAAACAATTCTAATTCGGTGGTGTTTGAGAAGGAAGCATCGAGAGCTCCTGCCACGGTACCCGTGGCAATTATGGGTATATGTTGACCGGGACTCCAAGCAAAAGTCGCGGTACGAGGGATATCCTTAAGTTTCATTGTGATTTCGTAGAAAAGAAATTATATTATTTAAAAAGTAATTTAAAGAATTGAATTTTTTAAAGGCTATTTAAAAAAATTGTCGAATAACGTGGCAAACCCAAACTGGCTTTCACGATGAATCACGTGGACCAGGATGTTTCGAGAAGCATATTTTAATAATATGGATAGAAATTTGATTTACTTATTTATTTTATTTATTTATTAAAATTAATGAAATTAATTTCATTTTTCTGATTAAATTAATTAAAGTTAAAGAAAAAAAACAAGAACAAATGTTCTTAGTTTACACCACATGATTATATCCCCTTTAATATAATGATAATAAATATTGAATAATCTTATTTTATTCTCTACATCCTTTCTTATCTATGGAAGTCCTCAAAGTTGCCATTGTGATTAATACAGCTTCCTAGAAAAAATAAAAATAAATGTATAAATATATTAAATAATCAAATAAATGAATATACTGTAAATTCATTCAAAAAAAAAAAAAAACCTCTGTTCTAATTGTTCGACTTCCTTGATTTGGACATGTGTTTATCCATAAATCAAATAAGGCATCTGCTTCTTCTCCACTACATTTTAAATCCTGATCGGTATCAATAGCTGCTTCCAATCCTCCTAATCCACCAAAAACGATCAATAAATGACTTTAAAAATAAATAAATAAATAAATAAATAAATAATTCAATATTTAAAATAGAAATGAATATAAATATAAAAAGAAAAATAAGGATTAATTAAATAAATATAAATACCGAAATTCTGGTAATTCATCTATTATATCATCAACCACATTACCACGTTCTGATGTTCCTATAGTCACATCATATCCATCCTATAAAGGATAAAAGAATAAATATTTCAATCAAAACTATTAATTCTTTTTCTTCCCTTTTTTATTCACTTACTGGATATGGAGATTCGGTAAAAACTTTAGATAAAGAATCCGCTATACGAATTTGATATCCCCAATATAACCCATTTTGTTTGGGAATTTTAGGTGATACTACTTTGGCTTTAATGTATTGACCATCTATAAAAAAAGGTAATTATTATTATTCTTCTTCTTTTTATATAAATAAACCAAACAACTCACTTTAAAAATAAAATTAATACCAATTTCGTAATTTCCCATATCGAGAGTAAGTCGAATTCCCGCTTTTAATGATTGCTCAATTATTACATTCTATGAAATGTGATAAAAAATATGAAATATGATAAAATATGAAATGTGATAAATATATAAATAAATTATTAAAAATCTTTTCTCGTCAATATATAATTTAATTACTTTTGTTAGACCAGCATTAACCAATGATCCTTTTTCACCATTTTTAGGTTTTTTGTCCATAACGACACCCTCCCGAAATTGACTTTTTTCATCTTGGCGAACGTGATGTGGACAATCTAAAGGATTTAGCAACCCTAAAATATATAAAATATATGCTTATTAATATATATTTAAAATATATTTTCGAAAAATATTTAAAAATTATTACCGGCATATTTTAGATCTTGATGTACAGGAAATAATTCTTTACGTAAATATCTAATAAAATTAATAAAAAAAAAAAAAATTAAAATAATTAAAAAATAAATTAATTATTATTGAATCAATCTACCAAATAAATTCAAATAAATTCAAACAAATTCAATTATCTACTTACTGAGGTGTTTCCAAATATTGTAAAATCCTCGCCAAAAAAACATTTGAATCTGATGATATGTTATTACCACCACCTTTCTTTTTTATTATTCCCCCATTATTATTATTCTTCTTATCATCTAATTTATTATTATTTGGTATACCAGATTCATTAAAAATTACTATTTCATCAACTTTATAAATAGAAAATGCTCGAGCGAGCTATAAATATAATTTTTTTTTAAAAAAAAAAATGATTAATAAATTTAATATCAAAAAATAATAATATTTAAATAAGGATAATGCTTTTACCTGACCAGCCAAGTATGTTTTGAGTTCTGAAGATTGTGCATTTTCAATTATTGAACCGGGAAGTGCAACACTTACAGAATATATCCTTCTTAACGAGTTAGAAACACGTAAAGGAAATTTTTGTTCTATTTTTGGAACCTCTTTTTCTTTTAATTTTTTTACATTCTTTTTATTAAAATCTTTGTTTTGTTTTCTCTTTACGTAGAAAAAATAGGTATGAAAAAAAGTGTATAAGTGTAATGCATTTCGAAATATACTTTATTCTGTATTGTTAAAATTTACCTTTTTGAGGGGTTGTTCTTGCATCTTTACGTAAACCGTGAACTATATGAATGTTTTGTGTGACTACAATTGATAAGATTTAAATTTTAAATTTTAGATCTCATTCCTGCAGATCTTTTTATGACATTAAGTTCTTAATTTATTAAATAAAAAAATTGAACATACGTGATCTTTATAAAAAGACGAAATAATCTCTAAGCTTCTTCCGAAGATCAGCAAAGAAATATACAAAAAATATAAGGTAGTGAGTGAAGAAATTAAAAACATGTTATATATGAATTGGAGGTCTGAAAATAGGCATATCAGGGGGTCTTCTACAAGTTACTTGTTCAAAGTTGTAATTGTGGAAAATTTGATATGAGTCAACTTGAAACTTTTTTACGAGAAAAAACTTAAACCTTATCAAGATGACTTTGTAATTCTTCACAAGGACAAAGAAGAACTTCTTTACACTTCCTTCTAACTTTCCTAATGATTATACACATTACCCAAATTTCTAGAGTTTCTAAATCTCAAATTAATTTTATGTTTTTTAATAATTTTGGCAATGTGTATAGTTCCAACTTTTCTTTTCTAACTTCCTCAAACAAATAAATTATCTTATCAATTTGTTAACATGTAAACGAATGAATTCTATTTATGTTTATTAATAAAAAATAAAATCTAGTCATTATAATTATTATATTTTTAATGATTCCGTATAATTATATAATACATTTAAAAGTTATTTTACATAATATTTATAAGATTTATAATATTTATAATATTTCGAGTTATCGAATTAACTTCGTAATTTAATTTAATTTATACTATCTTCGGTATTATCATATGCAATCGATCGGTGTAACATTACTAAACAACAAAATTAGGAATCGGAATCTTGAGGTAGGACAAGATTCAAAATCTCTTCGGTAAAATTAAAGAACACTTCATCGTTACGTCTCGTAGCATCCAATACCTCATCAACCTCTGGACCTCTTGCTGCGTTATCAATATTATATATGATTTCTCTTAATGTATCATCCTTTAGAAATTCTCTAATTTTCTCGGAATTTGCTAATTTTTAGAAGAAAAAAATTTTAATTTTATTAAACACTATTATATTATTTATTTAATATTTTATTATTAATTTTACTTTACCAAGTTTCTCAAGTTGATCACGTTTTACCGTCATGATATCCTCTGAATCTAATAAATAATCATTTGTAAAATTTGATGTTGTTTGTTGGGACATTGTCATCGTGGGTTGATGATCTAAGGTTGAAGGGGTGGCATTATATTGTTGAAAATTGAATTCTGTTTTGTTTAATGATATATTCACAGTATTCACAGTATTCACAGTGTTCACAGTTGGTTCATGAAATGTTGAAGGTGTTGGAAATGTTGCTAACAAATCTTCAAATCTATTAATTTTATTTAATGGAGTTTTGAAATTTGGACGATTTTGACGATTTTCCATAATTATTATCTGTTATCTGTTATGATGATAATCAACAAATAAAATGATAAAATTGATTCATATAGTTTCTTTTTTTAGTTTTAACTTTATTTAGTAGCGTACATACATAAAAAAAAACATGAATAATAATAAATATAATAAAGATGAAGAGAAAGAACTGGTGATTGTCTTTAATAAATATTATGATTTCAATATTGTAATTGCGATATTCAATATTATATAATTGCGATTTGCCGTAATATATTACCTCTTTGGCCAGAAACCTATTGAAGGATATACTTCACTTAAGGATGCTATTCCCGGAAATGCAATCAATGTGATTGGTGTGATAAAGTCGTTTAAAGCGAAAAGAAAATGCAATGGCTCAAGTAATGTATTATAATCTATTAAGGACTTTTATATTAATGAAAATAGATTATTTATTTATTTATTTATTTATTCATTTTCTAGATGATTGGTATTGTTCTTTTGTATTAAGTGATCATTCTTTGTCGAAAGGATTATCAGTCATTTTATTTCGAACTCGACGAGAGGATTTACCGGACGTAGAGCAACCAGGCTCCATACTTATTGGAATGAAATTTAAAGTAGATATTTATTTTAATAAATTCGATTTAAATTCTTATATAAAATTTTGATTCAAAAAAATTTTTTTTTATTTTGTATTTTTTTTAAAGGTTGATAAATTTCAAGATTCTCAACAACTCATTGCTTATAAAAATGATTCAACGTGCATAGTATTCAAAGATAAACTTGAAGAGAAAATTCTTCCTTCTACAATGAAAGCTAAAGGTAAAGCAATAATAACATTCGCGGAATGTTTGCGAAAATGGTGGAAATTATCCGAGATTCCCCATATTCCTCATCAAAAAATTCGTAAACAGCTCAAGATCAATGAACTTCAGATAAATGTTTTTTGCGATTTAATTGGTGAAGTAAGTTATTATAATCATGTTATTACAATCATGTTATTAATCATGTTATTATAATTATGTTATTATAATCATGTTGATCACGTTATGATATGATATTGAATGATGTTTATAATATTTAAACAGATATTACATTCACGAAATACTGATATTACAACGGAATTATTTATAACGGATTATACAGAGAACGAATATCTTAATACGAAAACGATAGATTGGGATCCACCTAATGGTCTAAGTGGAAAACAAGTACTTCAAGTATCTTTGTGGGATGAAAATCGACTTGAAGGAAGAAATCTTCAAGTTGGTACGATAGTTATGTTACAAAATGTCCATACTAAATTTAATAATTATCAAATGTTTCAAGCCATTATACATGGAGATCCAGATACTAGGAGAGTTAAAATATGTGAATTAGATTCTTCAAATCCTGATGTGATTGAATTAAAAAAGTGAATATTTTTTTTTTTATCAATTTCTATCATTAAAGTTTTATAAATTTAAAAATTAATTACCAAAAAAATTTTTTTTTTTTGCAGAAGAAAAAAACATTATATAGAAAATCATTTGGAAGTTCAAGCCAAATTTTCACAGAATAATTTAATTTCATTTTCAAAAAAAGATTCATTACCTTCGGATAATAATGAAATAATAATCACAAGTAAGTAAAACAATTATTTTTTTTTTTTGTAAATCTAAGATAAATAACAATAACAATAATTTCATATCTTATTATTAGAAGTTGTTAATTGTCAGATTGATATTAAATCAATAACTGAGATCCTAAAAAAGAAGGTTAGCAATAAACTTATTAAATATTTTATTATTCATATTATTATTTATAATATTATTTATTTATGTTGTTATTTATCTATTTAGGAGGATATTTACAAATACCGAACACGCGGCAGAATTATTCAATTTTATCCTTTAAAGTATCAAGAATTTATAAAGCCATATTGTCATAAATGCGATAAGATGTAAGTTCTTTGTAAGGATATTGATATTTTTATGATTTTTATTATTATTAAAAGATAATTACATATTCTTTCTATTTCTTTCTTTAGATTTTTCGATCATAAACCAGAGATCAAAATTAATAAATGTCCAACTTGTTTTAAGAATGTTAAATATATTTATGATTTTTGGTTATTGATTGAAGATGAAAAAGGTAATGCAACTATACCTGTGCTTGTTAACGGAAAAAATGCGATTGGTTTTTTAAAAAAAATAGAACCACAAAAGTACGTTTGAATTTCAATTATTATTGTTATTCAACTTTATATTATTAAATTTTTTTTTTTTAATTTGTTGGCCCAATTTCTCTTTAATTTCTCTTTAATTCCTCTTTAATTTCTCTCCAATTTTTCTCTAATTTCTCTCTAATTTCTCTCTAATTTCTCTCTAATTTCTCTCTAATTTCTCTCTAATTTACATAGGGTCAAAGAAAACATTGAAGTTTGTCAAAAGTTCAAAGACCTAATTGATACTTTATTAGGAGTAAATAACAGTAAAAAAACTTTAATGGATTTCTGTATCGCTGCATATATAGATAGAAACTCAGAAGGAAATCCAATGACTTATCATTTAATAAATACAGTATTATTGTAAATAATTATTATTTTTAATTAAATCAATTAAAAATAAAATTTGGGGATAAATTTATAAGTAATTATTATATCCAAAATGTATAGACAAATATAGAACCATAGTTGTACAAGTTGTACAAGATCAAGTTTAAAAAAATTATTTCGATTTAAAAAAAACTTAACTCCAAAAAGATGTTTAAAGATGTATTGATTTTTAGCATTTTCGTAAAGTTGCTACTTTTTCCTGCATAGTAAGTAACATTTTTTTTATATAAAATTTATTAAATTAAACAATCTTATAATATCAATCCTTATTATTAACCCCTTTATCATTATCCCTTATTTATAAATTAATTTCTTAAAGTCGTTCAACTGATTTTGAAGTACATAGAAATTGGCTTGCTATTACACATAGTTTACCTATATCCAAATGGTATTATGAGAGTACAAGCGAATGGACTCTAGATTATCCACCATTCTTCGCTTGGTTTGAGTGGTTAGTATCTCAATTCGCGTCATTTGCAGATGAAGAAATGCTTAAAGTAGATAATCTCAATTATGCAAGTGAAAATACAATTTATTTTCAACGTATGACCGTGATTATTGGTGACTTGTTCTTATTTTACGCATTGAAAAAGTAAAGTATCAATTTATTTATTATATAATGATAAATTTAAAATATAGAAATATACAGATATTAAGTAATGATTTTTTTAATGAATGGTTAGATTTTTGACACTTTCGGGAAATGAAAAAATAGGAAACATTATTTTTATCATGATATTTTTAAATCCTGGTCTTTTAATAGTTGATCATATCCTTTAAATTTCACAAGTTTTTCTTATATGTATGACTTACAATATAAAAATTTTGATTAATCATAATCATAAGAATGATAAATTACCTTTGAGTCTCTTTTTTTTTTTGTTCCTTGACATCAGCAACAAATACTTACATGTTCATTTTCAATATAATGGATTTCTTTTCGGTCTATTATTGTTATCAATAGCATATGCTAAAGAGGTAAATTAACAACTTTCCATTATCATTAAATTATCAATTAATTTTTAATAAAATTATTTTTAAATTTTTTTTTTAATTAATAAATTTTTATTAAATTATTTTTAATAAATTTTTAATAATTATTTATAAATTATTAATATTAAATGAAGGGCAACGACTTTTTATGTGGATTCGTGTTCGCTATTTTGTTGAATTTCAAGCACATATTTCTTTATCTTTCTCCTGCTTATTTTGTATATTTGTTGAGACATCATTGTTTCCAGAAGACCGGAGGATCTGGTAATAAAAAATATTATAATTATTATTATTATTATTATTATTTAACATTTAAAACATCTAGTTTTTATATCTTTTAATTTTTTTTTTTTTTTTTTTTAGAAAAAGCGAAATTTTGTTTCACCAATTTTTTCATCCTTGGAATTACCGTTACTTTGATCTTTTCTCTTTCATTTGGACCTTTTATTTATATGGGTCAAATGTGGCAAGTTCTGTCACGTCTTTTTCCTTTCAAAAGAGGCCTTTGTCACGCTTATTGGGCACCGAATTTCTGGGCTTTATATTCTTTCGTTGACCGAGGTTTAATAATTGGTGCATATTATTAAAAATTTATTTAAAAAAAAAATTCATATCTTCACATAATAATAATAATAATAATAATAATAAATATCTCCCTCTTTTTTTTTAGTCTCAAAGAAATTAGGAGGCGGATTAAATGAATTGAATGAATTGGCACTATCTTCCATTACCAGAGGATTAGTTGGTGACTCTAATTATGCAATCTTACCTCAAATTCAAGCAAATCATACTTTCATTATCACGTTGATCTTCCAAGTTGCAAGTATTTACTTAATCTCTAAAATTTTGAGATGATCAAGATTAACATTTTATAAAAACCTTATATATATCATTAGGCTTCTCTTGTTAAATTGTGGAAATATCCGGATTTCAAAAATTTTATCGGTTCATTGATATCTTGTGGTTATTCTTCATTTCTTTTTGGATGGCACGTACATGAAAAGGCCATTTTAATGGTCATGGTTCCTTTCGGGTATTTGTTTTTAATTAATTTCTTATATATATATATATATATTATTTTATTATTATTATATACATTATATGTAATTTATAACTTTACTATTTATATGATGATAGGTTGATCGCAACCGAAAGTCTTGAACATTTTCGTGCTTTTATGATTCTATCCACTTCCGGATTATTTTCATTATTCCCTTTACTTTTCAAAGCGACAGAATCTATAATCAAAATATCTCTATGTGCTTTGTGGATAATTTTTACCTATTTAGGATTATCACTTTATGCTCCAAGGTAAAAAATAAAAAAAAATTATTATTATTTTTCAATTTATTTAATTTATTTTAATTTTCAAATTTATTTTAATTTTTAATTAATCATTATATATATATATATTTGGTTTTTTTAGTAAAATTAAATTTCTTCCCACTCCAAAAAGTAAAATTTCCATGTTTATTTATTTAGCAGAAAACATTTATGTTTGTGGATTTGTAGTTTTACAATTTTTTTTGGGAGTTCTTCAAATAATTCTTAAAAATGAATATGAATTTTTACCTTTATTACTCACATCTGTATATTGTTCTCTTGGAATTATATATTCTTGGTTTAGATTTACTTTAATATATTTTCTAGGCAAATGATTATTATTATTATTATTATTATTATTATTATTATTATTATTATTATTAATATTGTTATTATTATTATTATTATTGTAATTATAATTTATTCATTTATTTCTTCAAAAAATTACTCTTTTCGGAAATATATTTAACCGGCCAGGGTTTAACAAGACCAAATTGAAAATTTCACAAATAGTTTTGAACATGTGCTCTCGAAACTGCAGCCATTTGACACATTTAGTACAATTGTTTGCTAAGAACATAATACGTACATATATGGTTTCATTATTTAAAAATAGATCGAGATTAAAAAAATCACCATTTATTTATTTAAACAATATCTATCCTCATCGACTATTGTAGATTAATTTGTATTTGCTATTTTGATTGCATCTTAGTGCAGGAATTTCATACCACACACACAATTCTTTAATTGAACAACCCCTTTCGGACTTCATTATATAGCCCAACAAGGAACTATTCAACTTGTCCAAGTAAAATTAAATGATTCTACCATGCAAAAAGAAAAACTTCATTACTAATTTAAATTTTTTGGGACAAATAATATTTAAGATTTCTGTGTATGTACGAAAAAAATATATATACGTATATATAAAATAAGTTCTTATGAAACCAAAATACAATTTATACATTATACATAAAACCCCTCAACGAAATAAAATAAAAAGAAAACCATTAATAAAAAGAATTTGTGTAAAAAAAAAAAAAATCGATGGAGGTAATTTAAATTAACCATAAATATTTGAAATATTTAAATAATTAAAAAAAAAAAATAATAATAATAATAATTGAAAAAATTGAATTAATTGAAATTAATTGAAATTAATTGAATTAATTAAATTAATAATTGAAATGCTTGGAAACCGCTAGCAAATTTTCTGAGCAGCAACCAAAAGCAAAGGACGCAGAAACGAAAAAATTGAAATTTGATATAAAGTAAAATAAAAAATTAAAATTAAAGAATCTACTAACATACATAAATAATGATCTCCTGCTTGACACGCATACAGATTATCTACCGTTTCCCTTGAACGGTAATAATAACTTATTATTATCGTCTAATGCCCCAAAGTAACTAAATTGGTTGCGCCAAATGCTTGAGATTTTCATGAATTATCAATGGGCCTTTGCTATAAGTTCCAGCAATTCAAGCGCATCTAGTCACCGCCGCTTAAGCTGAATTAATTAATCGTGCATAAATCATTATTTTAAAATTCGTGATTAAAGTGTGATTGGTTAACAATATAAAAAATGAATTATACAATTATTATTTATTCTTACCTGTGTATCCAAAATCTGTCGTTGTTGATGAAGGAAAGATGAACGTGTTTGATTACGTTGCAAAAACACGCTATCACCTTGTACGCGTCGTCCCAAGTTAAACCAGGAACTAACTATTAGACTAAATTCTTTATTCAATTGTTCTCTCAATTCCTTATTATATTGCTATTATTATTATTTTAAATACATTTAAATATATATATATATATATATATATATATAAATAAGTTATTAAAGGGAAATGAAACAAATATATTTATCAAAAATAAGGTAAAAAATTTTTTCGATTCATTCTTACTTCATGACGGGCGATTTCTTCAGTATGAGCTTGTCTTTCAGCTTGTACTTCAAGCTCACGACCTTTGTAGTTTTCGATAATCTCATGTTGACCTGTAATCAACTGTTTGAGATTTTTTATTTTATCCGCCTGTTGCCTATGAAGTTGAATAACGTCGTCGTTTCCACCTCTTAGACTCTTAATGAGAGAAGTTAATTCTCTAATAGAAATACAATACGTCAATATTACATTTAATATTACATAACTTTATAAAATAATAAAAATAAAATAATCAATAATTATTATTTTTGAAACCTACTCATTTTGATTCTTTAAGACATCTTTTTCTGCCTCCAAATCTTTGATCCTAGCATCGATCGTTGCTGTATTAAAAAAATATATATATAATAATAATAATGAAGTTCTAATTTTACCATTTATTATTGAATAGCTAATAATTTATTGTAATATTATATAATTGTTATGATGCAAAAGTCCCAGTTGATTATTTAAATAAATTATAATAAATCCGATAATATATCATTGTAACTTATTCTTCTTCTTTTTTGAATTACAAATAAAAATACATATAAAACGACGTCGCTTAAATAAACTACACCTACAATCTGATTTCATTTCATTCATTTCTTTTTCTGCTCGTTCAAGTTTTATCTGAGCATCAATAAGTTTTCGTTTGGTATCAGACAATTCTTGTTCTTTGTCAATATTCTTTTTGCTTTCATATTTATCGACGCTGTATTAGAAAATAAAATAAAGATAAATATGTCATTGAAATATTCAAAAAAAATCATGATATTATATCAAACTAACCCATTTGTAGTAGAATTGCCATTTTGTAATTGTGTAAGTTGGTTTTCCAATACTAATTTTTCTTGTTGAACTTTAACATAATCCTAAAAAAAATAATAATAATAAAAGAAATTAAATGAATAATATAAATAACATTTTATATGCCCAAATTTTAAAAATTACCTTTTCAAATTTATTCTTAATACGATTAGCATCTTCAAGCATATGTTGTAATACTAGTAATTGGGCATCATCTCCATCCGCTGATTTGCCTTCACGATATCTGGTTAATTCTCGCTCAAGTTCATTAACTTTTAATTTCAGGCTAGTCATCGTAGTGCCTTTCAAAGCATCTGAAAGTTCACTATCACCAATGGATTGATCAATTTCATCAGCATCAGCCTTTTCTTCATCTTCCTCTAATCTACGTTCGCCTCTTCCCAATCCTCCTATAAATAAAAATGATAAAATGATTTTAAAGAAAAATTTTTTTTTTTTAAAAAAAAAAGTCTAAACCACAGCACATACCTTCACCCAATTTTAATTCAAGCAACCGTTCTTCCAATAAACGTATAGTTTCCGCATCCCTAGATTGTAAACTTTCATATTGATCTAGTTTTGCTCGCATTTTATTATCTTCATATTCAATTTTATTCTTTACATTTAAAAGTTCGGTTTTCTCTGTTTGAAGATCATCGATTTGTTGTTTATAATTTTCAATCAAATTTCTATATCCCGACATTTTATTGTATTCTTCTTCTATTTCCTGATTTTTTTCGATAAGATTACGGTTTTCTTGTTCAAGTGTCTTTGAAAAAAAAACAAGGTTCGGTCAGAATCGATCAAATTCAAATTTACCAAAAAAAAAAAAATCTTTAATTTATAAATACCTTGAGAGATCTTCGCACGTCTGCTCCTTCTTCCAACTTCTTTTTGTATTTTTCAATTACGTTCTCGGTTTTTTTCAATTTTTCTGCAGCATGTCTGTACTCGTCTAACTGATCTTTTAATCTTGAAGCTTCGTCAGCTTGTTCTTGAAGAATTTCGACCTAAAAGAAAGGAAAATATTAAGATAATCAGGAATGATCAGAAATGATCAGAGCAATAAAGATTTTTTTTAAAAAAAAAATTACCTTTTTGGTAAGCTCACTTATCGCAACGTTTTGCTTTTCGATTAATAATCCCGTTTCATGACGTTTGGTCTCGCTACGAGACCTATTATTATTATTTCGAAAAAAATTTTACATAAATTTCTGAAATAAACGAATAAATATAATTACAAAAAAAAATAAAAATAAAAAAAAATAAAATGCTACTTGCAATTCATGACGAAGATTATCAATTTCATTTCGCATATAGAAGTCGGATTTACCGCTTTGAGTCGATTGAGAAACAGTCAATTCCGAATCCTTGAGTTTTTGACTTAATTCTTCGATCTCTGCTTGTAAATCATCCTGTATAAATTTGTAATTTTATAAATTTTTTAAATTTTTGTATAGTAATCAGAAAATAACCAAATCTAACTATAACAACTAGCTAATATTACATATATTACATACACATTGACCACGCAATTTGGTATGCTCATCTATTAAAACTTGATGCGCTTTTTCGAGAGCTTCTTTCTCAGAAATAAGTTTTCTATGTTCAATTGCGAGTCGTCTTAATTCATCATCACTAAAAATTACAACCGATAAAGAAATTAAACAAAAAAAAAAAGGCATACAAAAATTGTTTTACAAAATATTAATATGAAAATATTTACGAGGCAATTTCCAACGGTTGTTGATTAAGCTGGACAGTGGATTCTCCTAATCGGTTCATCACCTATCAAAATATCAAGATGAATGTGAAAACAACGAATAATCGAATAATGTACATAAATGAATAAACAGTGTTGAAAATCATAATTAAAAACGAACATTTTCAATTGACTCCATTAATCCTTTCTGTGATTTTTGACCAAGAGATAAAATTTTCTCAATATAAACTTCGTTCTGTGAAGATCGAACGGCCAAAGTAAGGACTAACGAACAAAGTTTTAACGTCTCATTGATGTCTCCGTCTTTTGCAATAGAATTCAAGTTAGGACTTTCAACGTTATTAAAAGATAGCCCGAGAACATCCTCATAATATTTTTTGATAAAAGGGTATAGCCGTTTGAGTTTATTAAATATTTGAACCCAATTATTTTCACGAGGGATGTCGTTCGCCATCTTGAACCATTTGGGATCACTGTGATCAACCAAAATGTGAATATCAAAAAAAATATATATATCAGAAAAATATCAAAAGGAATATCGAAAGATATCTTTATTAAATTTATTATATAACAACTACTAAGAAAAAATTGCCAACCCTTGTAAATAATAATCTTACATGATGCATAAAATCTCGATCAAAACAACGCCATCGATAAGATCATGTATAGAATTGACAGGACGAGAGATCTTATCAAAGGTATTCACCTAAATATATTTGAATGCGAAAAAACAGTTTGAGCCACTTCTTTGAGGCTGAAATTTAAAATATTTTGAACTTTTAAATACCCAGTCCACGAAAGCTGCAGCTTTATCCTGTTGAGACATCTCTTCCATTTGGTTTTTAGTTAGTTTAATCTCGTCAAAGAATTGAAAGAACGAATAAACATTGAAGGATGCGATGTGTTTTATTGATATTTAACGAAATAAATAAAAAATTTTTAATTCACAACAGTCGTTTTTTATGGGTTTAATAAAACAGTAAATAGAAATATAAAACAGTAACAGATAATTGTAGCAGTTTAAATAAATAAAGGGATGGAAGAGAAATATAATGCGAGACTTTAGACTTTTTTTTTTTTTGCGACGACCCTTATGGCTTACGTCGACTATGAGACTTTTAAGATCGATGCAGGATACAAATGTTAGTAACGTAATACACGGATTCGATTAGAATTAGAATTTATATTTAATCTCTGTTATCTAGTTAGCAAGAACTTTTTGGTACAATTATTATAGCTCTATTGTGAGAAAATATAATGTATATTCTTTGGAAGGGTTCATACAAAAATGCATACTAATGTGTATATGTTTAATTTGTTTATATTACTAATTTTAATATATGATGGTAATAACTAAGTAGAAAATTACTTATCATAAAAAATTGATGTTGAATAAAGAAGTATTATAAATAATAATTGCTTAACAAAAATTCATATACTGTATATTAGGGATGGTAAATGCAAAATTAAAATATATTGAATTAATTTTTTGTTGGCTCAAAAGATCCAAAGGTTAAATTTGAATATAATTTCTGATTGACTAGTGTAAAAACTTTTTGATATATTATAAAGGCAGTTAAATTTGTATTAAAAATTCTAATCATTTAATATATGTTAGTTAATAGTCAAGATATTAACCAGATTATACAAATTGGATAAACTTTTTATAAAACAAATTAAACAAATTGAAAAAAAAATACTTGTATAAAAATTTAATATTGACAGGTTGTTTTTTTTATATAGGTTTGTAAAGGCAGATAAATTTGTATTAAAATTTTTAATCATTTTAATATATGTTAGCTGATAACCAAAATATTAACTATATTATACTGTACAAATTGAATAATACTTTATTAAATAAATTAAATAAATTGAAAGAAAAGTACTTGTATAAAAATTTGATATTGATAGGTTGTTTTTTATATATTTTTTGAATTTTTTCTTTATCATATTACTACTTTAAAATTTTAATAACAGATGGCAAAAAATTTAATTGAAAAATATTTATTTTATATATTTCTGTATAATATTGTAATATATATATTAATATTATTATTTATTTTAAACATATATAAACTAATAATTTCATATTTAAATTATCAAGAAATATATGGAAAAGCATGATTATTAGTGAGGGGAATGTCACAATTGAAAAAATTTTATAGGAAGAGAATTGTTACTTTCAGTATAAGAAGTCTTTCCGACAACGTAACCTTCTGTACCTAGAACAATTAACTTTATTTGATTGCCAACAACTACTACATTGGCAGGAAATTAAAAACAATAAGAGGAAGGAATTCAAACCTGGTTGGTTTAAAATTGTAGAAAGAAAACTTTTATCAAGTGGTAACAATAGAAAGTTAAATAATCCCCAACTCATTAACAGACTGGGAAGAGGATTCAACACATGCGAATGGAACATGAATAGGGGAATCAAAGACATCAGTTGGATTGCTGCTGTAAATGATCTAAACTTGGAACCAATACTGAAAAAAAAATATAAAAATATAAACAAGTGTGAATTTATCATCGAACATTATACAAGAGAAAAAGATATGGCTAATATTGAGAAATTAGTACTGAGACAATGTGACAGGTGCATACAGGAAGATAACAACCTGACAAAATACTTAATTAACAAAAACATATACCTGTTTAAAATAAGCATTGCACACACAGTGGAAATTAATGTTGTCAACAGTAAAATATCATTAAGAGCAATACCAAATTAAACCTTTAAATTAAGATTATGATTGGAGAAAGAAACAATTAAAAATGGATTAAATAAAATATTATATAACTCGTAACTAAGGGATCATCAAAAGGGAAGTGGGATTCCTAACATTGCAATTAATAACCTGTCAAATAACTGGAGTACCATATCTGAAAAATATGATAATTTTTGAGAAAGTGTTAAAATTAAAAAAAAATTGAATAACATTCGTATGTCACTTAATCAATATAAAAATATAATTGTTTATACAGATAGGTCATTAGCCAAATAGACAGTTAACAGAGGTAACAAAATGGAAACCAAACCTGTAATAGGTTGTAGATAAGTAATGTTGGGAAAAAAAGAAAAAAAAATATAACTTTTGTGAAAAGGTAATAAAATACCCATCATCGACAAGAGCAGAATTGATAGTCATACTTATTGCAGTTTACACATATCCAAAAGAATCAGCTTTAATGATATACACAAATAGCTAAGTTTCAATTGATACTCTATAGATGGTGACAAAAAATGTGAACAAAGCAAGGAAGAAACTAAATAACTGGACATTGTTAACAGTAATTCATGAATTAACAATAATACAGAAAATAAAAATTAAATATTATAAAATAAAGACACATTTGGATATTGAATTAAACGGTAAGGCAGATAGATTGACAAGGGAGAGACAGAAGGAAATAGTTTATGAACCAAATATGAATAATCTTACTTTGGTTAATGCAATATCATATTGAAACTCTGTTATAATAGAAAAAGCTATATGTAAATTTGTCAAGAAATATAATGCAACTAAACAGTCCTGTAAGTGGAGATTATTAAATCGTAACGTTGATAATATGAGTAATACAAAGTTGAAATTAATCAATTGAAAATTATTGTGGGACACAACTACGAGATTATATGAAAAGAAACAACAAACAAATAATAAGGATAACAAAATGTGATCATTCAATATGAAAATATTTAACAATGAACTCTCAACCTTACAAAAACTTAGGATCAGATATCCATTAATATACAAGACAGATAAATACTTTCGCTATAACTTGTTAGTAGAGAATTAGACACATATTTTTACATGTAAAAGTAATCCAGTAACACTAGAATTATGTAAAAATTGATTTATTACAATCCTAATAGAACAACTTCGAAATAACGGTTCTTACATCATTAATGATTCTTTGGAGAGTGATCTAAATAATTTGAAAATAATGAAATTAAATGTAGAGGAAATGCATAAAAATAAGGATAAAATTTTATTTATGGATCATCAGGAAATTTTTTCTAGTGATAACCTTCGAAAGTTAACATTAACGTAAGTATTTCGCTATTTTTCGATATGTTATCCTTCGAAGGTCTTCACTAACCTTCGAAGGTTATCGATTTTGATATTTTCACGTGGCAAAATTTTGCGAATATTATCGTTTTCGTAGTAAATT